TAAACGTTTATTATTATTATTAATTGACTAATACATTAAATATTATAGACTACTGCTTTACACAAAATAATGACTTGACATTTTTAAGCTACTGTAGTTCTAAATTGGCTTAAAAAACTGACATTTTTGCCCTTTCGGTGACTGTTCGATCAGTTTGTTAGGAATTGAAAATATCTCAACTTTTACCGAACTTCGGTTCGTTCAACCAATCAACTTTTCACAACTACATGACACAAACTGAGTTAGATTGTAATTGGTCGAAAACATTTTCTTTTTCAACCAATTACGTTCTAAGTCAGTTTGTTACGTAGTAGCTATGATTGCGTGTTTATTTTCTTCTTTAAAATTCGCTTCGTTTGAGAGAATGCAGAAACATTTTCAATTATTAATCTACATTTTTCATAATTTTTAATTAAAACTTGCATTTTTCAGTCGAAAGCGTATTACCAGGAAAAGGACGTTTCAGACCACTTTGCCTCGTCACCTATAACATATAATGGAATTTCTATATTATTTACTATTATTGAATAAGGCAAATTAGGGTCATTATCTGGTAACATTTTATAAAGCCTACATGTCTCCATTAATTTGACGATAAGATACATTTACATCTATAAATATTGTATATAGTCTATCTATAAATTTATATTGGCATCATAAATAGAAAGTAATATAATGATATAAAAAGCTGGAAACGTGTTTGAATAATAAATAAATATTAGAATAATAAAGAATAGAAGAGAATGTGTTGAAAAATTACACACTTTTATAGTTGAAAATTTCAAATTTTAAAATTTTTGGTGCGTATACTTGTTAGATGTGAATGTTTTTTTTTTCCTGAAATGCTCCTTAATTTATCAGTTACTCTTCTTAAATAAAGCCAGTTTTAATTTTATTTTTATTTTTTTATTTGTTGCCAGGACCGTGCCGTGCTATACAGAGATCAGGCGGCACCCCATAAGGGGAATAAGCAGCATTTAAGGGACGGAATTTCGAAGACTTGCATCATACTGAGAAAATCTAGTGCACGGCCCTGTTTGTTGCATTCCAAGAACGTATTAGGTAATAAATATTTATATTCTAGCTTCATCCTTAATGATTTATGCAGTATATTTGATATTGTTAATTTTTTTCAGTTTTAAAACTATAAAAAATAGTCTGTAGACTATTGCCAATGACTAAAACTCTAAATACTCGTAATATACAATTATATCATCATACTACTTACATTTTATGCCGTTATGCAGCTATGAAGTAAAATAATAAGGAAAAAAAAACTTCTTAAAAAGTTTATATTTAATTGTGTATTTCTTTAATTCAATAAAAAACGACAAAATATAGGGCCTAATAAAATTTTATGAATAAAATTACTTAAACATTTATGTATATATGATTATTTTTAAAAATATAAATAAATGATAATTTATCTAATAGGTCTATGGCTTTATTTTTTAGATAAAAGTTATATTAATTCAATTTTTTTTATCCTAAATTAAAGGCCAGTCTTTCTGATGCGAATATTGAAACCTTATAAGTTTTCTATGACTTATCAGGCGTGATATACCTCAGAAGAATTTCAAATAATTAACATTATTTATAGTAATAATAAAACAAATGTCATTAGAGGGGAATAGAATTATCTTCGATGAGTCGTAACTTCATTATTTTTAATTAGATATTTACATTTAAACTCATTTAAAGTATCAAAAATGCACTTTAAGGCACTATCTTCTCTAATTTCTTTTATCAGATTATAATTTTCTCCACTTACTCTTCTCGAATTAATTAAGTGCGTACACTGTATTAAATATGACTAAGAAGCGGCAGAATTTTAACTGAAGTTATTGAAAACGCATACGTTTGCTTCCATTATTTATAAATATGAGCACTTGTGCGATGAAAATAATAATAGAAAACAGAACAAACAACGGTATTGTTACCAATATAACTTTTAACTTTACAAAGAGACATCTTTTATTAAATTTTCAAGATATTTCGTAAGTTAAAGAGCTCTAAATGAGTAACAAAATCAAAATTTCTGAACAAGGGTGAATGTAAAATATTAATCAGTATCTTGGGGAATATTTTAATATCCAGAATAATTAGAAACGAGCTTTTCCTAAATAGTTTCGATATTTTTCATAAATTTACTTCTATTTTTTTCAAAATATTATTTTTCTAAAATCATATTTGTTTTTAATTTTGGAATATTATACAGTTAAATTAAATAAATACTGTATCAAACTAAGCAATAAGGTTTTATAGTAGACCTATCAGAAAGTCATAACTGTAATACAGAGTTATATTTCATCATCCTCATTCGCCTAAAAATAAAATGAAATAAATTTAAATGGCTATATAAATAAAGCAAAATAATAATAAAATTTTAAAATATTTTAAGCGATTTAAATGTAATTTAATTTATCAATAAAAAAATATTTTAACATTGAGATATCATATAGTTTTATAAACGTAATTGTATATATATTTCAAATATTTATTAATTTTAAATGCATAAATTGCTTTAAATTCGATTAATTTATTTGTTACATATTGATTAATTAAGTAAATTAATCATTTTTGTAAAATAGTTTTAGTTTACTTACGAACCATTTCATAAGGCTACAGAGAATAACAAAAAAAGTTTAACACAACATGCCTAAACGGTGACAAATTTCTTTTGAATTATATATTTATAGTTTTATATATTATATTTTAAATTTTAAAATTAAATGTTTCATCCTAAACAGAATCAGGCTCTAGTTTTCGTTTCCTTGATAAATTATTCATTAATTTATATTTTAAGCGATCTTTCAAGAAAACAAGCGTAACAAATGTAAAGCTTTTGACACTAACTTAAATTTTTCTTGTCTAAAATCCTTTGAAAATTTCAATATTTTACTTGTATTATTTATTATTGTTGGTAAAAACTTGCTTATTTTCAATAAAATATATAACAAATTTCACCATCAAAATTTTAAANTTACTTTTTTCCACTGTAAAAAGAAAATACAAATAGAGCATACAGAAAAAATACAATTAACAGACAAAATTAAACATAATTCAAGCTTTTGATAGAGTCTGAGTTGTCTGTAGGTTTTCAGATGTTTATTCTTTTCTAAAGCGTTTTAACTATACATTATTTCGTAGATAGGCGATATTTCGAGGAAGAGTAGCTGACCTTTCTCAGTTGATAATCAACTGACTGTTCAGATAACAAATCAAAAGTGTAGTAATAATTCCAAGAAAAACACGAGTAGAAAGCACGTTATTAACATTTCATAGAGTATTTGTTGATCTCCTGTTTCCTTATTGTGTTTGTGATCAACGAGATTCTTTCCAAGGAAAAAAAGAGGAATGGGAGTTAATTTGTATGGGTGAAAAACCTACACTTAATAACGTTGGTAGAACCATAGTCAACCAACGAGTGTATTTATCCATTCGAGTCTGTTAATTATGATGTGCAATTATTGTTAAATTTTCAGAACAACAAAAGTTTATTAATTTATTAATACACGAAAAGTGTTCTTTTATTAAGTCAATATTATAATTACCAATAATCAGTAGTCGGTAAGTCTTTAGTCAAAATAATTGATTTAAGTATATCAAAAAATGTGCTACAGTTAGAAGCAGTTCTATAAATCGCAGTTATCATTATTATAAATTGTGATATTACCGACATAATTTTAAAGAAAATTATTTTTATAATATCACAATAATCGTTACAGTAAGTAAGTTCGAGTATCAATTTATAGTGCTCTCCCCATGCGTGCACCATTAGATCCTAGTGCTATTTTTATGGACAATAACTTGCGAGGTTAAAAAATTCGCATCGTCGGCTAGTAGTATTATTCTGAAACACTGCTTTGTATCAATTGGCTAGGTATCCCTACGTGCAAATCAGCATATCGAATGTAGTTTAAAAATTAATTACTTTACAGAAGTTATCGGTATAAGTGTGATGATCGTTATAGTTCGTATAAAATGCTAGCTGTCAAAATATATAATGATAATACGGTTTAGAATGAAAATGGCGGGAAAATACGACTAATCCGTCTAGTGGTAAAAAAAAACGAACTTATTTTCCGAACAACCTAATATAATAAATAAAATAGAATAAAATACACAAAAAATGCATCCAAGTATAAGGGCAGGTGCGAGAAAAGAACCCAAACAAATCAATTTAAAATCGCCAAGTTCACTTATAACAAGAACATCAAGAACATCATGAAACAAATATTGGACAAAAAAACACTATATATAGTATTCTAAGAAATGATAAAGGCGTGCTTTAAAAGAAGATAAAGCGGGCGTATATAAAATTCCATTTGAAAATCAGCAATATTGGGATCACAAGAAGGAATTTAGCTATTAGACTTAAGGAGCACAAGTATGACATTAATAAAGGGCACTGCAACACAGTTTTGTCCAGTATGGCACAAGTAAAGGACTCTAGTTAAATGGAATAAGCGACTATCCTCAGGGCCATCATCATTAGCTGTTTGTTTGTTTGTTGTTTAGCCTTAGTCACGGCAACACAACACTTGGGCGATTTGTCTAGGGGAATGTCTTCCGGGAGGTCTTTTTAAGGGAAACTGGCCCGTATTTAGGCGTTACAGACGAGAAAACCCGGAAAACTCCACGTGGCCAGCCCGTCTGAGCGACGCTCGAACCCACGACCGAACGCCCATTACTCAGGGAACGAAGACCGCTTGGCCACTGGTGGGTCATTGCTCAAAGAAAAAATTACTCAAAGAAAGCAATGATCACAGAAAAAATTGAAATCTATAAAAGTAAATTAAAGAATGGTTGTATTAATATGAATTAAATTTTTAAAAATATGTTCGAATTCAGTTACACATGAAGATGGCCTAGTCTATTAGGTTGAAGATGTATTGATAGTTAATTAAGTATTTATTAATTGAATTAAAATAATAAATATTTTTGATTTCTCAAATATTTTTATTTTTTCAAATTAATATGTTTAAATATATGCGACGATAATAACAAACTTGTACATAAAATAAATAATAGTAAAACATTGAATATCAATTAAGAATATAACATTTAAGTAAAGAACTTTATACGAAGAAACTCATATACAGTACATGAATAGAGGCCAATTTATCTCGAATAATATATATAATTTTCTGCTATTTTATAATAATTAAAATTAAAAAATTGTATTTAACTTCATTTCTTTAATTTGTCTGATTGCCAAATATTATTAAATTTTATTTATAGTTACTATTTTTAAAGAGATTTCCTGCTCTATCTCCAGACATTGCATTTCTTTTCGGGATTCATATAGCTTGTTGGAGCACAATTAAAAGTTTCTGAAAATTCTGGTAAATTCATTAAAGGACCAACAACTCTATATATGCTAGGACTATGCTTAATAGGTATTCTTTTTACTTGTACATCATTTGTTTCGCACCACATCTCAGCATATCTAATAAAAAACATTTGCTTATTAGTGTAATTAAGTCCCGGAAGCTTTGGTTCCTCTCCATTTTCCTTAATGTATTTATCATAAGCTCGAAATGCTACAAGAATTCCACTATTATCAGCAAAGTTGTCGTTAAATGTGTTACTACCATTGACTGTTAAATTTCCTTCTATTGGGAATTTAGAATATTGATTAATCAGACAATTTTTTCTTCTATCGAATTCGAATATAAACTGTAAAAATTTTTTACTGATTTTGGTTTTATTTTGTAGATTACCAAACGTTCTCATTAATGAAATCGAATCCTGAAATCCGTGCGAAAATTCATGACTAAGTACAGTAAATATACCACCATAGTTTAGATAGTGTGGCACTCCAAAGACATAATAAGGAGAAAACATCCATCCTAGTGGTAGTGATATTTGTCCTCCTGTTTCAAAATCTATGAAAATCGGTGGTAATCCAAATGGATCGAAAACAGTTGTTTCGTAATATTCAACAATCAAAGGCGAATTGAATGCCATATCATATAGCCATTGCCTATTCAAAGATAAGATGTTCTGCACATAGTTGTCTGTGATATTGATATTATCGAATATTTTCTTTAAAAATTCCATATTCATATAGCCATTAGAATATCCAATAGTATAATGTATATTATTTAATTTGTCTTTCATTCCCCTTTTGATTTCTTCGTTAATCCATTCTACCTCAGAAAAAATTTCTTCAAGACTATCAGTAATTTGTTTAATATAATTATTAACTTCTTTAACCAATTTTTTCGCATTTAATGATTTTATTATCATATGGTGCAATCCTAATTCAATATATCTTTTCATGTAATTAATACAGTTCTTCCATTTTAGTGTTTGATCTTTATATCTCATCCGTTTTGAATAATACCTGAAGTAATGCCATATTGTAGATAACATATCTCTAAATTTGTCGTCGAATATAACTAAATGTGGTACAAAACTATTCCATAAAAGTGCATTATAAATGATTCTTCTCTCAGTGTTCTTAATGAGGTTACACAGCAGGTGAATGTAATTAATGTTGAATATTTTTACTGTAGTTTTTTTCTCGTTCAATGGAGGTCCAAGATATTTAAAAATGTGTTGAAATAAGAACTTCCAATTAATTTCTGGGCATTCTTTTTGTAACTGTGAAACTGTCAGAATGATGTTTTCCTGTTTCCATTTTTTATTTTGAATTTGATTTAAAGATATTTCAAAATTACTGATTTCTTCTATTATATTCTTTGAACTTTTTTCATCCATTCCAAGCATCTTTAATAAATAAGTCATTGAAATGCGATATCTTCTAATATGAAAAAATTGATCAGATAAAACTTTTGATTTAACAGTCGTGGATCCTATTTTAATATAAAAAAAACTTTGTCGGAAAAAAATTTGAAACAGTAATCCAGTGCCATCATTAAATATTCCAAAGACGATAGCTTCTTCTATTGTTGAATTCAGGGTTTCGTTTTGGGCTACGGGCCATTTATCAAGATAGGATAGATTTAAAAGATTGGAAATCGCATTTTTGATTTCATAACTGTTTAAACAAGATTTATAATATTTTCTTACTTTATTTGCAAATGGTGGATCATTTTCTTCATCCGATTTCTCTAATACTTTTTTAGCCAACAGATACTTATAATTAGGTAAAACTTCCGCTGGAGTTATATATTCTCCATTAAGAGTTTCATATTTAAGATAATTTCCACAAACGAATTCATAGAAATTTTCACATGGATCAGTTTGAAAATTTATGCTTCTAAGAATAGATCCAGCTTCAATCTTACAAAAATCGCTAGTACAAACATCTTTTATCACTTTACCTTTACAATTGTCCATCACTTTACTTTGAAAATATGAACTTACATAGAGGCCAGTCATGATGATAAACATAATTACGAAAAAAATACAAATTAAAATAAGGTAACGTTCTGATTTTGTAATTTTTCTATAGGTAAAACGATTCATTTTATTTTTCTTATCACAAAAATTACTCTTGTAAAGAAAGTCGTTACGAAAGTCAAACAGAAAATTTTCAAATTCGAAATGAACAACGAATTTAAAATTCTGTAGAACGAACAATAGAGTGCTTCAATTTAAAATTTAAATAAATTATTTACATTTAAATGAATAATTAATGCAAAATAATAATAATAATAAAACAAAGAAGGAATAAACTAACTTAATAAATAATAAAATTCAATATGTGCTGTTTCATCAATGGCTTTTGATGTTACCAGTTTCAACCAATAAAATTATTTATTACAAAATAAAGAATAAGGCAATGTTATTTATTATTATGTGAGAAAGAGCGAGTCTGGATGGCAAGCAGCTAAGTAAGCAAACCAATGACATAGTCGGTTTAATGTGAAACGAGCTGTGTCATTGGTTTACTTAGTTTGCTTACTTAGCTGCTAACACGTAGATTCAAAGTATCAAGTACAGTACAATAAATTTTCTACAAAGGCTTTATATGTTTACGTAGCCTAATATTCTTATTTATTCAAAACTTATATAACATATATAAAAATATAAATTTCTATTGATTATTAATAATCAATAACAACACTTTTACTGCATTCATTATTTATTACAAAAATTTTAATGTAAACATTATTTATATGATTAACTGAAACATTTTGAGAATTTAATCAAATTTTCAGCAATTACAATAGTTTTAGAACATTTTTAAAATAAATATAAAATAATCTATAAAATATATCCAATGCATCTTTAATTAATGGGTTACAATAGATTTAAATAAAAACAATTTAATTTTATATTTAAAGGACAAAAAAATGAATATTTTTAGACTAAATTTCGATTATTTACTTGCATATTTTTTTACAAATAAAATTTAAAAAATCAGTAAAAATGCATTATGATTTATTTCAATTAACGTATAATATTTACCTTAGGTTTAGAGAAATGAAATTAATAATTTAATGAAATTATTTACAATTTATTTCTTAACATTTAAATCATAGAAACAAATATAACATTGCTTAAATTTAAATTTTTAAAGTAATTTTTCGAATAAAAAAAACAGGCTTGAATACATTAAACATAAAAATATAAACGTAATTGTTAAAGCTATGTATTAAGTAACTAAAATTAACAATAGGAAATTATTATAAAAATAATACCGGAATTTGAAATTTGCTCATAAATAAAACATGAAAGTAAAATTTTAAATTATTGGCTAAAATTATATAAAATTATATATTTATTCATGTAATAATTATTTAATATATTAGTTCTTTCCTATTTTAAACTTTAATTTGACTTTTTAATAATACTTTTTTAATGAACGGCCAGACAGACGGCCGAAGCGACTTAGACTTTGGATTACCTCTCTGTGGATCCGAGACGAGAAATTTTCAGGAAGTTTCAGGAGTGCAAAACCCAGAATGAATATGGGGGAAAAATGCCCTCTTGGTGCCCACAGAATAAACTTATGTGAAGAAAAAATAATTGTAAAAGTAAGTAGGACAATTAATAAATTAATTAAAATTAAAACAAAATTAATAATTTCAATAATTTATAGTTAATCAGAGAAAAATATTTCGAACAAAATGGAGAAAATCGTTTCAATGTAATCTTGATTTTATCAGAAATTTATTTAATTGTTTAGAATATTTAGAAAATATAACTTGAATATTGATTAGAAGTTGAAAATGAATCATCCATATTAATTTTTTTTGTTAAAATGCCACAGAAAGGCAAGTCAGTGAATAATAACTAACGTCGAAAAACTCAGTCATTGAGTAATTAGAGATTTCTTTTTTTATGAAGCTCTCATTATAATTCTATTGTTTTGATTATTATTCTACAGCAATCGATGCTTCAGATAAAAGTGACACATAGTAATTTATTAAAATTCCATGAAGATTAATTTGGTTAAAACGTTAACCTCATTATATGATATTATCCGAATCCTTATATAATTATCCGTACACTGCTTTAAGAATTTTACCTATTGCTACCGACACTTTCAATTAAATTATTTTATTAAATTTTTTAAAAATTGCTTATAATATAATATAATGTAGCAGAATAAGAATGATCTAAATAATTAACTTTAAAAGTATAAAAATAAATGTCTGAATTGAAAGAAATGTAATATATTTTTTTAAGTAAAATTACAATAAACAGCAAGTAAAAATCTTTATTTTTATTATTTATTTTGTAAGAAATTCTTTTAATTTAATTAAACATCAAACAGACATACTCTTTTTCTTCTTAAGTGAGTGCAAGAAACTTTAAATAAAATTAATGATATCTGAAGAATTTATTTTTAATTCTGTTCAGATTTAATTTTTATTTAACATTTTAAAAATAATAATAATAATAATTTGTAATGAATTTAATAATATTATTATTATTTTATATTAATTCGTCTTATCTTAGTTGAAAATAGAAATGTCCTTTCTACCAATTATTATAACTTGATTGGTTCGAAAACTAGGAAAAGAAACATTTATTTATTTTTAATGTATTTTTTTTAAAACAAATCATTAATAGAAATTCGAATATTTACGAAGTTTTACTTATTTTTACTTTGAAAATTTCAATATTATATAAAACTCCTCCATTATATTAATGAGAAATATGAACTTCTACCTACTCAAACATATGGAAATGGTTAGTGAGATATTCCATTTTCCAGCTGTTTTTTTTAATAAATCCAATAAATAAATGCTTAACTGTAGTAATTTACATCTTTATTTTGATAAAGGCGGGGAACCAAAACTTATAGTACCAGTAATTAGTATTAAAAAATAAAATTTATTTATGAATTTTGTCGTCTATTCCTGCGGATTATTTCTATCGTTATAAATTTGAGGATAACAAAGCGTACAAAATAATACAAGATTAGAAAAGATTACCATTGTCTTTCGTATAATTTTCAACTCTAAGTGTAATATTTGATTACCTAAGCCTTAATAACTGTTACACATTGTCTTGGAATGGATGCAATGACTGTTTTAAGAATGCCTACATCTACTATATGGTGTCTCAGCTCTATTAAGTCCTTGTTATTGGGCAATTTCTGTAATTTTCTTTTTCAGAACAGTCCACAAGTTTTCAATCGAATCTATACACCATGAATTTCTGAATCGGTTCAACACATTGGAGTCAGGTTAAGCAAATATACTGTACTGTACAGTACATTTCACAACAGAACAAACAACGGTATTG